TATAAGTACCCTAATTGGGGTGATAGTTATAGCTACCTTACTTATAACCCTAGTCACTAAGTCCCATGATCCTCCAAGTCGGACTTTCGTTAGGCCTTCAGGTCTGCCCTGTCCCCTGCAGCTCATCCCAAGCTCTAACCCCTAAGGCCTATAAGTTGAGGGTCGGGGTCTGACTCCCAATCACGATCTTGGGGTTTAGGGTTTTGGGTTTAGGGTTTAGGGTTTAGGGTTTAGGGTTTAGGGCGGACAAGTGAACGCTAGATTCTAGACTGTAGACCTAACTTGAGCCTTACAAGCAACTTAGGTGCAACGTGCCGGCATCCTGTTCCAGACGTGTAGGTCATGTAGGTTTCTCGACTACCTTGTTCTGTTCCCCGGTCAGCTGTCTGTGAAGTTCGGCAACTGTACCCTAAACCCTAAACCCGAAACCCGAAACCCTAAACCCGAAACCCTAAACCCTAAACCCTAAACCCTAAACTCTAAACCCTAAACCCTATCGGCAACGTCAAGCCTGAGCAGCCTCGGTAAAATCGGACTCCGATCCATCTCAGGGCTCGCTTGGTCCTAGAGCAACGATCGGTGTAGACCCTATCAAAAAACAGATATCCGATATCCATCCTATAAAAGGGGCTTAAATACGCACCAATGCTATTTTGCGGGTTCCTTACAATAACTAGAAGATGATGGGCCCTAAACCCTAAACCCTAAACCCTAAACCCTAAACCCTAAACCCAAAATCCTATTCTACTTCTTAAGGCCCCGACAGTGTAGGCCCGACAGCCTCGCCCCGGAACCTAGGCTTTAGGGTTTAGGGTTTAGGGTTTAGGGTTTAGGGTTTAGAGACTCAAGTATGGGCCCCGAATATGGACCGGACCCTTAGGCCTTTCTAGGGACCCTTAAGGGTACATATAGGGTATATAGTAGGTGTATAAGGATCCCAGGGTTACCGGCCCATACTACCCAGAGACTCCAGTATCCCTTAACTAAAAGTTATAGTAGGATCCCTAATATGATTTAAGGTATATTCCTTAATGAGGGGATATGGGGGTCTCTGGGAAGCAGAGGGACCTGATCTCTGGGGCGACCCTGCAAGTCCCGACACGGATCAAGCGCGTTTTTTTTTTTTGGGGGGAAGGCCATTAATATGGGTAGTTCTCTAAATTAGGGTCCCTTTTGGGGTACCCTAAATAATAGGTGCCGTATTATAATAAGAACCCCAAAAAGGGACCATAATTTTGACAACCACCCGTATAGAGCAATGGTATGTATACATAGGCCTTTAAGTCTTTCAGTACTTAAACCCTAAATCCTAAACCCTAAACCCTGAACCCTAAACCCTAAACCCTAAACCATAAACCCTATATAGAAGGCCTACTGTACCTGTATATGCTCCATGGCTTTTTCTTTTTTAAATGCTAGGGCCTAGGCCTTCCTGCTCGCTAGGGTTCAGCAGGGTTGTAGGTTTAGGGATCGAAGTTTAGGGTTTAGGGTTTAGGGTTTAGGGTTTAGGGTTTAGGGATCGAAGAGCAACAGCATGAAACAAAGCCGTCGGTCTATAGGAAGTCTATCATAGTTGGAACAGGCTCAGAGAGCCCAATGTCCCTTAAATAAGGAATATACCTCAAACTCTAGGGGCCTTAATATTATGATTTAAGGTATATTCATTAATTAAGGGGGTATTGGGCTCTCTGGGGATAAGGGACCTAAAGCGTTCAGATGATTTGTGGGGAGGCGACGCGGCCGTGGACAAGATCTGGGGCTTTGCGGAGGGCCGCTGCCCTTCGCTGAAGGCCGCGGACGCAGCTCGTCGGAGTCGGGCGGGGCTTGGGGGGGCCAGAGAGCCCAACTTACCCCTTAATTAAGGAATCTACCTTAAATCATAACATTAAGGCCCCTATGATTTAAGGTCTATTCCTAAACCCTAAACCCTTCTAGATCCCCTTAAGGCCCCTATAATTTAAGGTATATTCCTTATTTAAGGGCTAAGTTGGGCTCTTTGAAGGGTCTGAAGCCCAGACTTCTGGAGTAGAGGGCTTCCACAGGGGAGTTCTTCATACGGTTTAGGGTTTAGGGTTTAGGGTTTAGGGTTTAGGGTTTAGGGTTTAGGGTTTCGAGAGGGCTTACTTCGAATTCAGGCGCCGCTTTTGAACCGAGAGGGCCCAACTTACCCCTTAAATAAGGAATATAGCTTAAATTATAAACCCTAAACCCTAAACCCTAAACCCTGAACCCTAAACCCTGAACCCTAAACCCATTGATATTATGATTTAGGGCATCTTCCCTAATTAAGGGGTGAGTTGGGCTCTCCGGGCAGGGCTTGGTGTGTTGGCCCTCCAGGTCCGTGACTCCTCTAAGCACCAAGCGCGCACCCAGAGAGCGAAAAAGACCCCTTAGTTAAGGAATAGAGTTTAGGGTTTTAAGGGTTTAGGGCCTTAAATTCACGTGGCCTTACTATTTTAGGATTGAAGGTCTATTCCTCCATTCCCTTTTTGGATTCCTTATAGATCCCTTTTTAAGGAACCCTTCAAGGTCTATTCCTAAATGAAGCGGGCATAGCTGGGCTCTCCGGGCCTCCGAACCCTCCCAGCCTGGAGCCCCAGAGCACCCCAACCCTAAACCCTAAACCCTAAACCCTAAACCCTAAACCCTAAACCCTAAACCCTAAACCCTAAACCCTAAACCCTGAAACCCTAAACCCTAAACCCTTAACTTTTCCCCTAAACCCTAAACCCTAAACCCTAAACCCTAAACCCTAAACCCTAAACCTTGAACCCCTAAAGTCTCTCCGAGGAATCCACGTGGACGGCCGAGAACTGGGGAGCCTTCGCCAGGGGCAAGTGCGGCTCGGTTGAGGCTTTAGGGTTTAGGGTTTTCAGGGTTTAGGGTTTAGGGTTTTAGGGTTTAGGGGCCTAGGGTTTTGAGGGTTTAGGGTTTAGGGTTTTAGGGTTTAGGGGCCTAGGGTTTTGAGGGTTTAGGGGTTTAGGGTTTTTAGGGTATAGGGGTTAGGGTTTGCAGGGTTCAGGCTTTTTGGTTCAGGGTGAAGAGTGTACGGTTTAGGGATCGCCTGGTAAGTAGCCCAAGCTTCGGGAAAAGTTGTCGGTGGGGGGGCATGTTCAGGTGCGATGGCGGTTCGGGTTTTAGGGTAGTGTTACGTGGGGCTGCAAGGACTTTGCGAGTCTGTCTGGGGCTTGGTCTCTCTCTCTCTCTCTCTCTCTCTCTCTCTCTCCGTTCGTGGACTTTCGATATTGCTGCGTAGGTGCCACCAGTGTGCATCCATGGCATCCGTAAAGCAAGCTTCCTTTGTGTAGCTACGCCTTGTCTGTGCAGTTGTGTACATGTATGCATGTCAGTAAGTAGGCATGCAAGGAAGAAGGAAGGAAAGACAGTACAAGTGCAGGTAAGTGAGTAGATAGGTAGGTCGGTCGGTGGGTAGGTAGGTAGGCAGGCAGGGCAGTCCCTAAACCCTAAACCCTAAACCCTAAACCCTTACATAAGCAGGAAGTAAGTAAGCAACGAAGTCAGGAAGGAATGGACGGAAGGAAGGAACCAACATGGTCAGCTCCGGAAGTACACAAGTACTTTTGTACGTAATGTCATGTCATATCATGTCATGTCAGGAAATGTATTACTACGTAATGTAACTCAGGTAATATAATGTGAGGTAATGCGCAGGTAAATGTAATGTAATGCAATGTAATGTAACGTACTGCAATGTAATGTAGTGCAATTGAGGATTATGTCTTGTCATGTATACTACTGAACCATGTGTACTTGTGGCAGTGCAGTATCATGCTTCTGCAAGCATGCCAGAAAGTCAAGTACGCACACGTTCACAGGTGCCAGTCCTGCCTGCCTTGGAATGCACCCTAAACCCTAAACCCTAAACCCTAAAACCTAAACCCTAAACCCTAAACCCTAAACCCTAAACTTTAGGCGTAGGTGTGTGCCACAGTACGCGCATGCATCGGCATGTAGACGCGGAAGATGGAACCTCCGAGGCCTCTGCCAACTTCTAGGTGCCGGCTGGGTGCTCTGGGAGGTTCGGGAGCCGTTTCATTTAGGGTGTGTGTGGTTTGAGGGGTTAGGGTTTGGGTTTAGGGTTTAGGGTCTAGGGTTTGAGGTTTAGGGTTTAGGGTTTAGGGTTTAGGGTTCCAGGTTTGGGCTTGGGGCCTGAAGTTCACAGCTCAGCTGTCTTTTTCCGGCGCAGGGCGTGGAGCTTCGTCAGGGGACTTTGAGTTTCCAAGTTTAGGGTTTGGGGTTTAGGGTTTAGGGCTGAGGGCTTAGGGCTTTGGGTTTAGGGTTTAGGGGGTTTAGGGTTTAGGGTTTAGCGCCCAGGCGAGCTAGCTGCAGTGCTCAAGATCTCGACCCTAGACCCTAAACCAGGAAGAGGCGGCAGGTTTGAGACATATACTTCGTGGAGGCCACCGGCCTAGGGACCCCCAAACAGTGACTGTAAGGGACTACCACGAGTTCTCTGAGAATGGAGTCCCAAACCTTCCCAGAGAGCCCAACTAACCCCTTAAATAAGGAATAGACCTTAAAGTATAGGGGCCTTGATATTATGATTCAAAGTATATTCCCTAATTATATAAGGGGTATTAGGCTCTCTGGGTTGGGGGGTATATTAAACTAGAATTATAATAAGGAGCCCCCAAAACCCTATTCTAACTGTCAAGGCCCCTACACCCCAAACCCTTGCAGTAGCCCTTATAGTAACCCTTATAGACCCCTTTAAGGAGCCCTTTTAAAGGAACCCTATTCTAATCATTAAGCCCTGGAAGCAACCCTAAACCCTAAACCCTAAACCCAAAGCCCTAAACCCTAAACCCTAAACCCTAAACCCAAAGCCCCAAACCCAAAGCCCTAAACCGCCTTTCCGAATTTACTTCAACTCCGAGTTCCCCTCCCGAGGCCTCACGGGTTCCACTCCAAAAGCCCCCTTCTGGAAACCCAGCCAGACGCCCTGAAGACCGCGCCGAAGCCCTAAACCCTAAACCCTAAACCCTAAACCCTAAACCTTAAACCCTAAACCCTAAACCCTAAACCCTAAACCCTAAACCCTAAACCCTTCAGCCCTCAACTCCGAAACTTCCAAAACCCGAGCTCCCCAGCTCTAAACCCTCCCAGGAGAGCCCAGCATACCCCCTTAATTAAGGAATAGACCTTAAATCCTAATGGGTAGTTCTCTAAATCAGGGACCCTTTTTGGGTCCCCAACATAGTACGGCACGCTTATAAAGAGGACCCTAAAAGGGACCCCGAATTTAGAGAACTACCGTAATCTCGGGGCCTCTAGAACTTAAGGTCTATGTCTTATTTAAGGGGTATTGGGCTCTCTAGGAACCCCAATTTGAAACCTCAACTCAGAATTGCCCCAAACCCTAAACCCCAAACCCCAAACCCTAAACCCTAAACCCCAAACCCTAAACCCTAAACCCTAAACCCTAAACCCTAAACCCCAGCAGGAGCGGCTCCTCTTCCGCCGTCGCCTGGTGGAACGCGGTATCTACGCCGACCGGCCGCACCATGCCAGCTGGGACGGCTCCTCGTCAAAAGAGACCAAAGTGTCGGGCTCCCTGGGTTCAGAGGCTAGTATAGGGTTTAGGGTTCAGGGTTTAGGGTTTAGGGTTTAGGGTTTAGGAGGGGCTTTATAGCAATTACCTATATTCTTTTGGGGGTTCCTTATTAAATAAGTATAATGTAAAGGGGCCCAAAACCTATTCTAATTATGAAGGGCCCTACATTAGGGTTTAGGCTTTAGAGTTTGGGTTTCGGGTTCAGAGATTTAAGGTTGATAGATTGGGGTCAGAATTCAGGAGTTCGGGCTGAGAGTTACGTTCCTGGGTTTCTGGTAGACCCAGGAAACACTGCAGACAAGGAGAAGTCACTGCGCAAATCGAAGAACAGAGGCAAGAGCAGTGATAGCCACCCAAATGTAGTCGTGGCATGGATGATGGTAATATCTTGCTAATGAAAAGCTCGATAGTCCTTTTAGCATGCACATTCAGCTCTATGCGAAGCTGAGGGTGCGAGCACGGATTCCCCAGAGGGCCCAATACCGCTTAATTAAGGAATATGCCCTGAATCATAGTATTTCCGCCCCTATAGTTTAAGGTATATTCCTTTTTTAAGGGGTATTGGGCTCTCTGGGTCTTTCGGGCTCTGGAAAACGAATATGGGGATGCCTGGCAAGCGTGGCAGGACTCGGAGTTAATGTAGAGGTCGGGAACAAGTAGCAAGAGTATGCCCTGGAAGTCCGTGTATCGTTGTCATATAGTGTACACCAAGACCCTGTTCTAATAATTCAGGTCCTTAACTTACATTTGACTGGTTTGGGATTTAGATTTTTTGGGTCTTAGGTGTAGCCGTCGAGAGATTTCAGAGCTACTACTTACTAGCAGGTTGTGTCAACGAGGTGTAAGGTAACTGAGTCAGAAATTATCGACATGGAGGGCATGACTGTGAAGGTTCAGCAAAGTTGCAGGTAAATGCATCGAGATAGATCTCGATAGACCATATACAGAGTGCCAAAAAAGGCACCAGCACATATATGCTTTCGAAGCAGAGTCCTAAACCCCTAAATCCTAAACCCTAAGCCCCTAAACCCTAAACCCCGTAAGCCCCCAAGCCCCTAAACCCTAAACCCTAAACCCTAAACCCCTAGGCCCCTAAGCCCC